ATCACTGGAAAATGAGGATAAATTGAATAAGGACAGAATTTAGGCCACATCCGAACCCCTCAAATAATTGGTACAAGAGTTTTTAATTTGCAGAGAGCGCTGATCAATGAAATCTACTCTGACATCGGCCAGCGGTATTTACGTGTAGTTTCCAATATCATTTGTGGCATCTAATTTAGGTTAGATACTTTTAGCTCGCTTTACATGCTTTAGTAACTGTATTGTATATTGTTCTTGAAATTTTGGTTTGATATTCTATACTACCGCTCGCCTCGTTGGTTTCGTGGGAGTGTGATCGCTTCGAGAGCGGGAGGTCGTTGGTTCGAATCCACATAGGGTCAAACAAAGACGTTAAAATTGGTATTTGTTCTTTCAATGCTAAACCCGTGGCATTTACGAGTAAGAGCACAGACTGGTCGGATCGGAGTTAGAAATGTGTCCGGGAAGGGTGACTTTTCTTCCTGTGAACTGTTAGCTTGTGAACTTTTACGTTAAAAGAAGACCGGCTCAGCGTGTCGTCTTGTATAAAGCAGGATTAATATTCATATTACATTTAAATGTTTTCGCCCAGAATATGCATTTAATTTTTTAATGTTTTCTTCTATACTGGTTTATATTACTCCTTTAATTTCCACCGATGGAAATTAAAAAAAGGGTAGGTGATATTTTTCAACCAAATACTTGTGCCTGTTGGGATATCTTTGACGGCAAATATTACTAAGTTAACTCCGTATTTTTAGTCATGGGGCGGTTTTGAGCTTATTAATCTGTATAGGCATCTTTCTATTACAAAAGACTGTATATTGACTCTTAATGTTTTGATTTGTCTGTGTCGTTGGGTTTTTGTGCGTGTCGTATTAATGAATACCTTTATTTCCTTTTATTCAAAACCAATGGATTGACTTGGGTATAGAAATATTCACCCTTGCTACAGGGATTCGTCCGTTTGACTGTTCGGATGTATAAATACGCAAATTTATCCGGTCGAAATAGGAATGTCGTATATCCGATGCATGGTGTAGTGAGTTTCACGCTATCTATACGTTAAAGACCCATTTAAATAACTCTTTGAGGGGGAAATACGATCTACGTACAAGTTATATGATTGAAATCTCTAAACAACAACAAAAGTCAACTAAATCTTCAAATAATCGCATGGCTGATCTTAACACATTGTTTGCGCCTTTTGCACGGACAATTGTAGATGAAAACAAAATAATCAAAAATAACAAAACCGACCAGTAAGACAATATCTTAAGAACAAATAAAACGGCCAAAATAAGTTGAATCCTTCTATTAATTGTTGCCAACATTTTTTTATCCATTTTTGCTTTAATGACAATTATACAAGATATTAAAAAAAACTCGACAAAGCAAATTTTGACACCTAGACGAGACTGCCGTCGTTGTACGCTACAAGATATGAGTTATTGCCACTCAATGAAGATTTTTTTCTGTTCTACTCCCTTCCTCCTAGTTTGGCTGGATAGGATACAATGAAACCCCTGATATGGAAATTGTCAATTATGTTATTTAATGTTAGAAAAATAAACAAATGCAAAGAGTAAAATGAGGAGAGAAATGATCAAATTCACACGTAAAATCAAATATAAATAAATATCAAATATATAAAAATTGGAAAACAATTTGAGACAATTATCAACTAAAGAATAATGATTATACATCACTAAATGTAGCTGATTAATTGATTGCTCCCTTAATTTCAAGTGGCAAATATGTCATGCATATTCACGACGAGATGCAAAGTGGATAGACCTGAGGCAAATGATAACAATTTTAGAGCAACACTTTAATAAGATAGAGCGTTGGCTAGATGTAAAACGTATAACGTACTAGAATAAAAATTAACCATGATCAAAATCTTAAATTAAGCTCTTACTCTCCTCCCCCCCTTCTTTTTTTCTCCACATTAGAGGAATGTCAAAAACAAAACGACATGATTTACAATTAATAACGGCCACTATAAGATGATGATGAGGGTGGTTTTAAACGACCTTGACTACCCATGAGGTTCTTGCACGATCGGCCCTAGCTTACGCCTTTTTTTTGGCATTTAATAATTTATTTTTACCTTAAGGTAATTGATATAATTGATTGAATAAAAAGTAAAATGAACAATAATCGATAGAAAAAATTAAATAAATAAATAAACACTTCCCGGTTTCGGACAGGTTTGTATTTCCACTCAAGTACCGTCTGATTATTGATCGGAGAAAATCAACCAAAAGCACTTGGATTTTCTGAAATTGTAACATTAAAAAAATATGTGTTATAGACATTAGGTGACACAAGAGTACAAAGAAAAGGTAGGACTTGCATATGTTTCCTAATTGTGAGTATGAATGTAAATCATGTAATATTTTAGTGAGGAATTAACCCTTCTTTATATACAGTTTAAATTAATACATACATTTGAGTTACAACTAATTTTATTTCACAGCCAATATTTTGATCCGGCTTTTTAAATTAAAAACTATTTCATTATGCCAGGGAAATGTTCAAATAAAATGCCTTTAAAAGTATTAAATATTTTCAAAACTTAAATCAAATTCCCAATTTTTTCTATTTTATCGGAATATTGGAAATAACTATTCTTCCCAACCGCTGGTCCAGTAATCAGAGTTTTGGAAAGCGAAAGATATAGGTTATTTTCTATTTTAAAACTTTTTTTTTCTTTTTTTTTTGCTTAGTTTAATTTTTTAGTAATTTAAAGTTATTAATATTTTCAAAATAACATTAAAGGTATAAATTTTACTGCACCAGTAAACTTCAACCTATTTTGATTTTTTTGTTTGTTTTACAATTCAACCTTTAGTCAGTTCAATCACTGTTATAAATCCTTTCAATCTGATAAATTTGCTTCGGGGCAGTTGTAGCTCATTTATGGAAACTCTTTGTTTTGAACTGTAGATAGACCCAAATAATAGGATAATCCTTTACTAAGAAAAGAGGGACGAAAGATACCAGAGGGACAGTCAAACTCATAGATCGAAAACAAACTGACAACGCCATGGCCAAAAATAAAAAGACAAATAGACAAATAAGAGAACAGATGACACAACATAGAAAACCAAAGTCTAAGCAACACGAACCCCACCAAAAACTGGGGGTGATCTCAGGTGCTCCGGAAGGGAAAGCAGACCATGCTCCACATGTGGCACCCGTCGTGTTGCTTATGTTATTACAAATCCGGTAAATAGTCTAATTCGGTAAGTCACATTCGTGAAAATGGAGGGTATTGTAGTTACGACATAAGGAACATATCCGATATCATCTGTGAAACGGTTATTCCATAACGGTCAACCAACTCGTGATGGCGTCCGTAAAATTTACGAAGGGATGACTTCAACTTCACCATTTGGAACTCTTGGTTTAATAGCTTCCTTGTGAGCAGCAATCATCTATCAAGGAAATCATGATAGGAAACACAAGCCCGGGAATATCGTATCAATTGGGAGATATATACTCCGTAAGAACATGATTTACATTCATTCTTCACAATTAAGAGACATCAAATCCTACAATTTCATTGGTCGAGAGCACTTTGCTATATTTTAACACCGGGTTAATAAGTTTGATGTACAATAAGTAAACAAAAGAGATTCTTTAAGAAATGAGATCGTCCCAGGTATCTTAGATAATTATTTTGCATTGAATAACAATGAAAAATGCACGAACAGGTTTGTAATTACATTAACAGGGTCAAAAGGAAAATAGTCTACTCAAGTGAAAACATTTAAGCCTCTGGTCATTAATTAAAGAGTTTACGAATGTTAACGAGTCAATTTTATTTGCTTTAACAATTTTTTTAAATTATACAAAAATAGACAGAAAATATGAAGGGGACAATCGAAAAAAAAACTACATTGACTGGTTCTAGATACTAGAATTAGCCAAAACTTTATTAACAAATTAACCGAACTCCAAGGTTAAATCACAAGACTAGTAGAAAAATAATAAGTTGCAATACGGTCAACATATGGTGTGTTTAAATGATATTTCGATGATAGAAGAACTATAATAGAATAAGAATAATTCCAACAAAATTATTTTTATTACTTTAAAAAGTAACCATTTATAAGTAATCAAATAGGCAGATGCAATAATTGAAAATGTAGGAAGAAATTGCAAGACGATTTCACGCATTTAAATTGCATGTGATTTAAACTACCCAGTATCATGCTGACAAAATGTATTTTGCTGCATTACGAAAGATGATATGTTGCCTCATCAACATATTTTTTCGTTACAATTAATTATCAATATTTTTACTTTTGTTATAATGTTATTATAATCAACAGTATATCAAATCACAATTTCACATAGTTACTTGCTGGTTCTGTATTTTGAAAATAGAATACGTAACTTTTAAATATTCGCAAAACAAATACAAAATAACGTCGAAAAAGCTTGCAAACAAGAACAGAAAGAATAACAACAATACCGTTACCTTTTTAAAAGGTTAGTCATCAGAACATCATAAATATGCTGATGTGTGATATTTAAAAAATGATGAGTAAACACCAAGAAGTTCAATTTAAAATCGTATCCATCGACGAAAAACAAACATGTGATAGTCAAAATAGGTATTCAACATAATATCGGTTCCAAGACTTACGTAAAAGGTTATTTTGTCATAGATAGAAAACAATAGTTTGAGAAATATGTGTCTATCAGACTACAGTATTTCGGGTATTTTGTGGAATGAGGGTTCAAAAATATGTACAATACATGTACAATAAATATATAAATATGTTTGGTGATCAAATATTCGGAATAAATTTTGGGCAAAAAATACTAAGATTTCGGTTTTTCTGTTTTATATTATATACAATAATTATTGTTCCACTTATCATGTTATCTTATTATTAACATGCTTTCAACTTCTCTTTGTTATATTATGATCAAGTGTTAACAAGAAGCATTTAGAATCAAATTAATATTAAAATGAGAATATACTTATTTTAACAAATGTTTAGAAATATGGCAGATAGAAAGATTTTACAGCTGCTGTACCTGTTATACGATTTGTGTAAAGACAGTTTGGAAGAATTCTTCAAATTCAACTGTTTAAACGGTGATCCATCAGATGACAAATTAGCAAAATATGTGACGGATCACAAAGATCAACTTTATCATCATTTGAAATATTCCTGCTGTCACACCTGAACTGCATCTAACAATCATAATAGCTGCGCAAAAAGTACCAAAAAATTATTTCAATGTTTGTTTACATTTCCTGAAGCATTTTCAGTTTCCGACATTTACAACGCTTCTTTGAAGGAAGTTAAATTAAACAGTCTAGATATATGGACTGTGCAGTATTTGTTATTAGCTGACAACTTAGAGCCTGAACAACATCAATGGATCCGGAAGTTATACGAAAAAAGGCAAGATGTTTCTGTTTATTTTGACACTATCAGTGATGACAATTTTAATAGTATATGGATTGAAACAAGAGAAATAATTCTAAACATCCTACGATTGTTAAAAAACCGACAGTATGAAAAAGCTGTTGTAAAGCAGTTATCACTTTTGAAAGTGACTGGTCCAGATTTCTGTGGAAATGCGGCATATTGGTGTATGATGCAAGAAGAGTTCAATGTAGAAGTAAGAATATATTTCAATCTATTGCATTTAATAACAATTCATGCATATCATCCAATACCTTAACATTCCGTCAATAGATTTCTTATTCGTATGTGTTCTACGTGCGTTTTTATGTCAATTGAAGTGAACAAAACTTATAAAGACTAATAGTTGCCTACATCAACACCATTTGTACTCTGGTGGAAAGTTGTCTAATGGAAATTATACCAAATATTCTTACTTTTATATTAGAAAAAGGTTAAACATTGAATGTCTACTATCAGCGTTTTCAGGGGAACATGATGTTACCTGTAGTATTAGTGTACGATGCTTTATAATCATAACGATTTGTTTTATAGTGTTATACCTATAGTTGTTATATTTCATACATTCTCGCAATATTTCGCTAAACAAATAAACTTCATCAGGGATGTGCAGCCATACAGTTAAAGTTGGATGCTGTTTAGAAATTTTTGCAGCGTACGACAGAGGTTCTAACCACAACACAAGATTCAATCATCAAAAAAGGAAAAAATAGAATAATAAAACTACCGAACTCCAAAGAAAATTCAAAATGGAAAGTCCCTTATCAAATATAAAAATCAGAATTTCACTTGGATTAGTGTTACCTTCGCTTGTCACTAAAGCTTTCTAATTAGTACGAAAATTAAAGATCGACATTTTAGTATTATATGTAGAATATACAATTGTAAAATAATGAAAAATTGTTTCCTTAGCAATATTCTTAATAACTGTGAATTGTTTGTCTTGTAAATGATGTTTTGCAGATATTTGCTCGTATACTCAAATAGTAGTGTTTTCTATTTTTTTAGTTAAGACCTCACCTTTACAGTACTTTGCCTGCGCCAGTTATTAAACATGATACTGAAATGGACGAGACTTTAAATAATAATAAACAGAAAGCAACGGTCGTCAATGTGCAAACTGGTCATTTAGTTATCGGATATAATAACGTAATAAACAGCATTTTGGATCCGGATGTCAAACAAGAAATTAAAGAATTGATGGACGGTCATCAGCGTAAGTCTATCAAATAATGGCTACACCCTTTAATTTGTTTATTTGTGAAGTACAGCAATTTCTAAACACCAGACAGGGACCACGATAATGGTGTTACATGGTAAAAATAAAGGAGAGGATGTATGGTTTTATTTCATTTAGTAACTTGCACCACTTAAAAACATTACATTTGTTCTTGCATATTGCTGTTGTCTTATGAGGAATTTTTCCTTTAAACTTATGTAGATTTTATAGATATGGGTTAGCTTCTTTTTGCTGAGTTTATTTGTAATACATTATTGATCATTTAAATACCTTAAACTCTTAGACTCTCTATTCAGATCTTCCATTAGTATCTTCTTAAAATGCTATGGTCACTTTACTTCAATTAAAAGCTTTAAAAATGGAGTCATGAATCCCGCTTTCGATTTATAACGCCATCTTTATCACATGATTTTAAAATCGAGACTGGTAGTGTTTAACAGGGTGATATTTAATTAAAATCCCAAGTCACATACACGTTTTTGTTTTGATAACCGTATTGCTTGTAGAAATTATTTTATTGGTATAATCATATTCTGAAGGACCTAGGATAACGATATATTGCTTTACACATTTACCCGCCTTTTTTACAGTGAAATATCTATATATAATTCAGTATTTAAAAAGCAGTTTGACCAATGTTTTACGATGAGAAGTCAATAGAATATTAACTTTTATTTGTTAAACAAAATGAAAATATGAAAACATAGGGTCACCGTACTAGATCAAAAAGGTATTTCGAAGAATAGGCCTAAAACTTTGACTGGAAGAAAGTGTGTCAATTCCAAGATCAACGTCTAAAGACGCAAGACATAGTTGTCGACGTTTTCATGGTTAAAGACTAGTTCAATTCCTGTTATTTATTGCTTAATTGTACGTCTGTTTTTTTGATAACAATAACATTGCTGAGTTTAATCGCTTATGATATTTTATATCCTGCTTTAATTGTTCATGTCAACCAAATTCACCAAACAAAGACAAGGTTTTGGTAAACGTCTTGCTAAACAGTTGTGCATCTGATACCTTATATGTCTATGTCGAGAGTTTTCCGTCATAATTTCACATGTGTTTAACCTCTGCAAACCACCAAAAAATGTTTTAAATGAAATAAAACACATTGAGGACCGTTTGTTGACCTTTATTGATGTCTTTTTATATTAAGTGTCCTTTGGTTTCAGTCCTGTTGGCGTCAACCCCAAATATCCAAATTTTATGCATGTGATGTCTAGGTGCCAAAGTCAATTTGTTAGAACGCAATTATCAATAACTATAGCTATTGATGATGCTAACGGACTTCTCGTAAGAAAAAAAGAACGTTTTATTATTGTATTTTAAAAGAGTCATCCTGCAGACTAATTTACCGATTCATTCATGTGAACTTGACAGTCTAAAAAATGAACCCGTGTTCCATCCACAAACATGGTGTAAACTTCCATTGAGAAATTACCCCCCCCCCCCCTCCCACCCTTTCCTCTTATCTTATTTTATGTTTGTTTTTGTGCATATTTCGTTTTTTTCTTTATATATATATATTTATGGGAAATTGTTATATAGGTCGAAAACCAGTTCACTGTCAGTTACCAGTTACCATCACCTTATTTTATTCATTAATTTCATGAGGAGTTCAGATTTAGAAAAAAAAACCAGAACAACTACCGAATTATTGGCCGGAATGACAATCTGTTTGGTTCATTTGACACACCTTTTTATTATTTTCTTGCAACCCAATAGTCAGAATATGACATTTATTAGATATAAGAAGATGTGGTATGAGTGCCAATGAGACAACTCTCCATCCAAGTCACAATTGCTCAAGGTAAACAATTATAGGTCAAAGTACGGCCTTCAACACGGAGCCTTGGCTCACACCGAACAGCAAGCTATAAAGGGCCCTAAAAATGACTAGTGTAAAACCATTCAAACAGGAAAACCAACGGTCTAATCTATATATAAAAAAAACGAGAAACGAGAAACACTTATGAACCACATCAACAAACGACAGCCACTGAACATCAGGTTCCTGACTTAGGACGTGTGCAAACAAATGCAGCGGGTTTAAACGTTTTATTAGACGCCAACCTTCATCCTACCTGAAACAATAGTGTAACATCACAACGTAGAAAGACACACTTTAAAATATCAATTGAAATGGTTAACTCAATTAAAAGACATATTAATAAAAACAAGTGAACATACACTGAACGAAATAATTTGATCTATGACACATGTAAATACAAAATTAATAAAACAAGGGGTTTAGATGTAAAACAAAATCAGAAAGACAACCATAACCTTGGACAAAATTGATGACCAGATAACTCGTTTTTTTTAATATATAGAAAGGCAGATCACGGATAAATTTGTATATAAGCAAGCAAAGTTTTATGCGTACTTTATTTACAAATAGATATAAGAAGATGTGGTATGAGTGCCAATGAGACAAATTAACTCTCTATCCAAGTCAAAATTTATAAAAGTAAACCATTATAGGTCAACGTACGGTCTTCAACACGGAGTTACATGTATTTAATCATGTTTATATCACGGAAGTATTAAATTGACTTTATTTTTTCTATGTTTATACCAAGAAACAAAGACATTAAAAAATATTTTAAAAAACCGATGTAGATCGAGCGGTCCTGGTTACAAGTTAACTTAGTGTTGAGCAGACCAGGCCAAAAGTTAACTTGAGATCAGGTCTGGTTCGATCGGAGTTGTGTTGTCAAAATCAAAGTTAACTTGTGTTAACTTATGGCAGAACTGGTTTCGAAGTTAACTTATATCAATAGCGGACCTGTTTCCAAGTTAACTTTTGCGGCAGACATAAAAACAGTCCTAGGACCAAGTCCGCTTTTCAAGTTAACTAGATTGTGGTCCTAGGACTGGTCAGAGCAGTCCTAAATCCTGTCACAGGTTAACTTTGACCAGTCCAAATGACTGGTTATCAAGTTAACTTGAGGTACAGGTTAGGACTGCACCCATCTGTATCATCTAGATGTTCAATATTTTTGTGACGGTAAATGGTCCTCGAACCCTTGAATTATCACGCAACAATCGCCAAACAAGTAACCGGGCTTTCTATGCTAATAAAAGTATATGTCCGAGCCTATTATGCTGAACCTAAATTTTGGTTGTCCTGCATGCATTTCAACAAAAATCTATATCGGATTTCATATTAGACAATATTCAGGAAAAACTGTTTTGTACTCTCTGCTTTGCTTTTCAACATCAAAGTATTTAACATATAAAAATTTAAGTAGACATTGTCTAATTGTCAATGTTTTATTTGAATTTATTTTACGACTTATCAGCGCAAGAAGATAGGTCATGTCGAAAGAAGATGCATATCTGTCATGGCAAAAAAGTACAGATATTGTACCTCTCCCGAGAACAGACAAATAAGATTATGATCGTATACAATAACTACAATTTTTGCCAAATTAAAAAAACCTTTGATACGGTATGCCAATCACCAAGCCGTCCTCATGTGACGTAGACAATTATTCCCTGTAACAAACCTTGACCAAGACTTTTCAGGACAAATTACTGTGTTAGCTTTTACTGCAATGTCAAACTTTAATGGTGACTGTGTTGACTGAATTTATCTTACTTGAAATAAGGACTAACACAGATAAAGTTAAGATGCCCATCTCTTGAATTACAGCTGGAAATTAACAATGAGTGTCGATTGAGAACTAAACTCTACGACAAAACAAATGATTTAAATTTTCCCAATGAAAACTTTTCATTTCTTTAAGCAGCACCTGCATATAGAGTATACATATCCTAGGGAATATGATTTACAGGGTTTGCGTTTCCTATCATGATTTCCTTAATAGTGAGTTACTGCTTTCAAGGAAGCTATTGTATACGGATTTTATCATGATTTTGGTGACAGTAATTGGATATTTATGTCACAGATGATCACGAGTATGTTGAACGAATAGTAATCACAATCCGATCCTGTTTTCCTCTGTAATTACTAAATTACAAAATGCAACGGGTCACATATTTTAACAGGACGGGTGCACTAGTGCTTACCCTTTCAGAGCATCTGCGTTCGACCGAGTGTTTGGCGAAGTCTTTCTTTAGATTTCTGTGTAGTCATTTTTAATGTTGTTTATTGTTTTGTCGATTTTTTGGTCATGGTGTTATGACTTTTGAGTGCCCCCTCGGTATCTTCTGTCTATTCTTACAGTTTATGTTTATATTCCTTCAAAAAAAATGTGGTTGTACCTCAGACCAGTTCTAAATATATATCCCTAGGGTTGACCAGGAAGTCCTGGTCTTCTTCTCTTGTCCGGCAGTAAATTACTCGCTATAATGGGGCGTCCGTTTTGCCGCGCTCGATGTATAAATACGAATCAACGTCCTATAGGAATGGAAACACTTTAAATCCGGAGCACTACTGAGGGAGAAAATTTCAGAACTTAAGGAAAAGTTCTCTGAGTAATTTTTAAGTGGTCTGTGAGTACTTTTTAAGTGGTCTGTGGCTATGCCAAAATTTTTTTCTTTCCCCGTATACCTCTATTTCCAAAATGCAGTCGAAGTTTCACGTTCTTCATCCCGGTCGACCTATCTTTCAAAACTTACCATTTGTATTAATTGTTAATTTGTTCTTGTGCTGCATGATCATGGAATTAAGCACAACCGAACTCCTCTAATTTGAACTTTGCTTTAGGTAGTTGCACTACTTAGGTACGATTTATTGACGGGACAATTGCTAATAAAATGTATCCAGTCTTTCAATTTCATACCATTTGAATACTTAAAATAAAGAACTCTTATGATTACATGGTTTTTTTACATTTTTTTATTCAAGGAGTTCAGCTAGAGAAAATTGAACAGATGTGTGTGGTTACATATTTCAAACAAGTGACAGAGACAGAAGGTACGTGTTTCAAAAACAAATACAAATACAAGCATTAATACATAACAATTATCCTCATCTTAAGCTTCAATATGCAATTTTTCTTCTTGGTTTTAATATGTTTGGATTGAGCTATCCTGATGGAGGTAAATCACAAAAACAGCTTCGGACGTACAACATTGATAAAGTATTATTTTCAATATCTAATACTTAGAGACTTTCAATCTTTCTTTTGATTTGAAACCAACAAAAAATTTATTACTATGCATACAAAAAGACGTGTTATCTATATAATGTCAAATGTAAAAATAATGTAATCAAAGTAAAACTGGGTAAATAAAAAAAATCTTGAATGACAATGAATACTATTTGGTGATAAACAGAAACGACTCTGCTAGTTTCGCCGATTAAATTGTTTACAGAAGACCAAGGCGTTGTACTTAAAACAAAAGTACAAGACAGACTAACGTTTGTAACTAGTTTCACATTAATTGCATATCATCTTCAGATAAAACATTTCTAACTGATAGACACAATAATGGTATGGATACAGGCCAAGGGGCAAGATCAAGTTCGTGTAAAACAAAAGGTACCAACTACTTTTTATTGATAACTACACAGGTAAAATAGCTACGGACGTAAAACGTCCGTATTGAATAAAAGTGACATAGCTCAGTACAGCCATTCTGAATTAAAAACAAATATGATATATTCATGCTATTTTAATTTGTGTAATTCTTAAACAACTAAAACATATATATTCTTAAGATCTTTCAATACACCAAAGATTGTAAGGGCCCATCTACTAGTAAGCGGATCAAGATTGTCTCAACCGATCTTAAAAATATATATGCACAGTGGTAATATCTATTAAAGGAGAGTCCTTATTTACTTTATTTTTTTGTGAAATTACACAAAATTTGTGGTAAAAACATTCACAAATATTGGTAAACATCTTCTCTTGCTAGAATTTAATAATTAAAAAATGATATATAATTGATATGCTATGAACAATTTTCAATGCTTTTTTTTTTTTTAAGAAGAGAATAAAATTCAATGAAAGCCTTACGATTCAAAATTAATTTACAATGAAAACAAATATTTTTCTGTGATAGTTTGGAACTAAAATAAGTGCTAAAGCGTTATTAATTTCTGTTACAAAATCATTTATATTTTGGAAATTTATATTTTTGTGTTAGGATTTCTTTTATATATAAAATGATATTTAAGATTGTTTCCAGGTGTCAAAAATGTTTCGTTTTTGTTTTTATTAAAAGAAGTGGAAACAATTTCATTTTGAGAAAATTCAGTTTTTGTTAAAAATCACAAATTTAGAGAAATGTTTTCTTATGCTAGATTGCAACTAAAATTGATATATTGAATAAGTTATTTTAAAGGGATCGAAGGTGCCAAAAATTTCTATAAGTACCTTGTTGTTAAAATATCACAAATTCTAAGAAACATGTGTTTATGTTATGATTTCAACAAAAATTTTAAAATAGTCATTAAATACATTTCATGACAAATTGCATGTCAATAATGGGGTAAATGGTTGGTTTTCGGGGAAAAATATCTTAAATTTGAAATACTCGAATTTTTTTTTCTTACATTTGATAAAAAAAACAACATCTCTTTGCGTTTGTATTTCTACAAACATTGATATTTAGATAAAACAGCATTACAAATAGTTCCTTACTGTCAGAATTGTGGTATAAACTCATTTTTTGTTTATAGATGATAAGATTTGAGAAATGTTTTTTCTGTTTTTGCTAGTATTTCAATAAAAATTGTTATACACTCAGGTATGATTTGCTACTCCGAAATGATTCCGTGTCAACAATTTTAGGTTACCCACCATTTACGAAAATGTAACAATGGCTACCAAAATACATAGTGCTTGGATTTAAACAAAACTTATATTTATCAACACGCATCCTGAATTAATTTCTGAAAATTTTGGGGCTGCAAGGACAAATTGACAGTAACAGATGTCATCTCTTTCCTCTATATCTTCCTCTTTTACTTGTATTTATATGCCATTTACTTGTATTGATCTTCTTAGATTTATCAGGCATGGGACTTTTACTACTAGACAGCAATCCAGTATCACAAAAACCCAAAAGACAAGTACATGCTTAATTTGCAGGGCAGTATAACCCGTAATTCATGAGCTAGGGGTGTCAAAAATTTAAACTTTTATTATTAGGCAAATCATCTTATTATCTTTTAAACCATTTTTCACACTTTGACGTATTAGTTTGTTAATGTCATAAAGAAAGAAATTTTATCAGGCCAATATTATAAAATATTTTTGTAATGAAAATAAAACTTGTAATTTTACAGCCGAAATGCGAATGTTTGAGAAAAGTCCGTAAAACAGATGTATTACAAACGTCTGTAAAAGAGTTTTTCCGTGAAACGGACGCTTTACTGACGTATAGTGTTCCGTCTGCCATACGCCCGTGTTATTTTACATGAGTAGTTTTGGCATTTCGACATTTATGTCGTATTACTACACACATGGCACTTATGTTTCAAATTTGTTTACGTGAACTTTTAATAATATTGTCCTTAATTGCTGAATTCTAATATACATGTCTGGATAGTATTTCAATTTCACTTTGCAATACTCGAAATCAACGCATGAAAAAAGGTCTGATAATGCCAAATTATATAAGTTTCTATTATTAACATGTCGTAATACATTGCGGTATCAAATCAAAATCAAAATTCAATACTGTAACAGTAATTGTACAGACTTTCGCAAAAAGAAAGATAAGTCTAAATATATAACAGCAATGGGGAAAAACGAGTTGAACTGTATGCTCACTTACTCATTCAGCTGTTTTCGTCAAATTACAGTATTTTTTTCAGAGCATAAAGATTACTTCGTTGAATGGAAAATAAAAACATCCGACGACACAGACAAAGAGGAACTGGAGAGAATAGCCAAATATATAGAGCAAGAAAGAGTGATCGATGAAAATGTTAAGATAAAATTTGTTCGCGTTGGTTCAATCGTAATTGGAACGTTGATTTCCGCCAATGTTGTAGAAAACTCAGATATATTTATTCAAACAGTTCGACGGTTTATACGGATGATAATCAACAAGTGTAATTTTAACACTAAATTTGAACACGTTGTAGAAGTTGATGTTACTTTGAAGCCATCGTCAGAATGTAAGCTGTAGTAAACATTCTATATGAACAAAACATGTTCATGGGTTCGCTTATTAATTTTGGATTTATTTATTTTTAGGCCTGTGGAGCTTTCGTCATCACTTTGTGTCTATTGTCGTCCGTAAAAAATAAAATATTGGAGGACTGTTAATTGTTCGATTTTCTACACGTGACCCTCGTTTGGTTTTGATCAAACGAAAAAAAATATCGCAAGAGACAATCTCTGTTCTGATTGGCCGTTTTAAATTACAACGTCAGTGTCAAATATTTTGAAACTTTATGGAATCCTCTCCCTGACACTACAAGGCGAACTGTGTAGAAACTTAAAAGATTCAAGATTAAAAAACCTTTGACAAATGATTCTAAAATTGCATGACCGGGTTGCAAAAAAACGGACTTAGTGGCAGATACCTCTAAATGAAAACCTTTGAAACATTACCTTTTCATCTTTTTCGGTAAAAACACTAATCTATTTTAATAAAACTAAGCAGGAATGATTTATGAAATGTGTTTATTCAAATGCACTATAGCTTGTTCCGATCGAATTGAAGAATAGCAACCGTCTGTCTATGATTCTCATTTGCCAATTTTCCAAACTACTTTCCTCCTATGAAAGTAGTTTACCAAATATTTGAAAACAAAACCCATGGAATAAGATGTAAACAAATGTATAGTTTATCTTTTCTGAGCAATTACGGTTATATTTGACCGGCGAGCTATTTGGAGTCTTTAGTTTTAATGGGAAAGAAGAAATAAGGTGCCTTGAATAGGTCACATTTTTAAATAAAAAAGTTCACTCGTCCTATAGTAACGACTTGCATAAACATTGGATAATATTACATTGGGGATGAATTGCAAAGAAATTTAATGATTACTGTGTAAACCGATGATTTTATATGTGATATAAATCCGATAATTTCACTCCTCTGTCGTCATACAACAATGGGTGTTATCAAAACATTGTCGGTGCATTGCATACAAAAAAATTGAAAATGATAAGAAAAGGATATTCTTTTTTATTTTAATCAATTTCCATTTAATAGTCCATTGTCAATGTAAAGAAAAACTAATTAAGGAATTCAGATGTCGAAACATATAAAACTCGTGACCGAACAACACTGGTAATAAACTCATGCGATTCGCCCATTTGTGAAATGTTGTGTTATTCTGTGATTCATGGAATATTTTTACCTAAATTATTGGATTAGTTATTTTATGAATATTACATTTTTAGATAACTGATAAAGTTATAGAGACTGTAAGAATATGCCTTTTACAATCATTGTAAAATACAAAACCAACATAGACATTTAGGAAATTGAGATAAGATTACTTTGAACGAATGATGTATGCATAGAAAAAAAAACTACTTAACAATTTTGAGAAATATACAATCCAAAAGAATAAAACTGAAGGACTGAAGGAGTTCACATGAACCAATATACCCCAGGAATGAATACCTCATTTTAACAACTTAAGAAAATCAACATCAATTAAGATATTCCTTACCAGGTATGTTTGTTGTTTACACAAAGCAGTAGGTTTGCGTAGGATACAATGGCCTTTTTCTCGTACCTTGAATTTCAAATAAGGCTTAATTGCAAAATCTAACAACGAATTATACGTACAATAATGACTAGGCAGGACACATACCATTCTGTTGAAAATCAAGAATATTTTGTCAAAATCTCTACTTTTGGCCAATTTGAATTGAAGATATTAACGCTTTATAAGGAAAACTGCTATAACATAGTTCCATAGCACTTTCTTCTTACGTGTCTTTTTAGCAAAATACTAATCGAAGGACCATATCTGCTGGGCAAAATACGGTCCTTACTGAACTTACTCCTCTGGACTGATGGGATTAAACAAGATTTGTTTGTTAAATTTGGAAGATTTCATAACTGTTTTAGATTTCCTATGTCATAGCATGATTTTTTTGATTTTTTTAAAAAAGTTTTGATTGCTTATATCATCTATCTATCTATTCTTGATTCAATTTTTAAGTTTCATATATTGTTTAGACATTTGTCTTTTTTTCAAAACCATATGTGTTTTTTAAATGTAAATAGAAGAGTTTTTAGTTACATTTCTTATTGATATACTTTTACATTTATGTATAACTTAACTATGCAGATTAAATTATTGAAGGTACTAAATTATCGATTAACAAAGTAGGATATGAAATTCCGACCCCATTTACTAAAGTCATGAAAAGTCACGAAATATCTACACAGACAAATGATTCGGAAATCCAGTTGGTAAAAACTGAGAGTGGTAAGTATAAGTTCAAATAGAAACCAGTCAGTGGTCGTCGTTTGTTGCTCTATATCATATTTGTTTTTCGCTCATTGTTTTGTACAAAAATAAGGCCGTACGTTTTCTCATTTGGATTGTTTTGTCATTTCGGGGCCTTTTATAGCTGACTATGCGGTAAAGGTTTCCTTATTGTTGAAACCGGACGATGACCCATAGTTGTTAACTTGTAAGTCATTTGTTCTATGGCAAAGAGTTGTATCATTTGCGATCATACCACATCTTTTATTTTTATATGGAGTGTCTGACAAGATTTTGTTAATATGTAGATGCTTTGGTTGCTCACACAGTTTTGTCAATATAAGGGAACTTTAAACATTTGTTATACAAGTGGGAGGTTTAGCTAGCTATAAAACTAGGTTTAATCCATCATTTTCTTCGGAAAATGTCAAGTCAGGAATATAGCAGCTGTTTTTCACTTGTTTCCCTTTTAGAATTTGCCTTTGAGTTCGGTTTTTTATGCCCCACCTAGGGGAATTATGTTTTTCGCTCTGTGCGTCCGTTCGTCCGTCTGTCCCGCTTCAGGTTAAAGTTTTTCAGGTAAAAGTTTTTCAGGTTAAAGTTTTTGGTCAAGGTAGTTTTTTGATGAAGTTGAAGTGCAATCAACTTGAAACTTAGTACACATGTTTCCTATGATATGATCTTTCTAATTGTAATGCCAAATTAGAGTTTTGACCCCAATTTCATGGTCCACTGAACATAGAAAATGATAGTGCGAGTGCGGCATCCGTGTACTATGGACATATTCTGACTTTTAAACTATCAAATCGACTTTTTATGTTCAGAAAAGGAAGATCGGTCATATTTTGACATCATTTTTCTGCTAGTACTGCTTTCGTTTGAGCTTAATTGGAATAATAACAACATAAATCTGAAAAATGCTACTTTTGTTGAACAAATTTCTGAGGAATGCTCTATTCTAATATTGTAAATAATCTAGCCATTACAAATATTTTGTGAAAAGTAGGGTCTGGCAAATCGAATTCTTCTTATCATTTGTTCTATTGTTAAAAATAACATTCACTCCTCTAGTGGCCTAGCTTGAGGTTTTATAAATTCTTGTACAAGTTTTGTTAGATAATACACTTTTTATGTACTTTTTAAAGGCTAAATTTTTCAGATTAGGAGCTTTAACTACAGTTAAATTAGGACAAATTAAGTATACGAACTTTGTTGTTATCATACTTGATTAACTCTATTGTAGATTGATATGATTTCTAAAACCTGTACATTTAGTACAGAAGAAAGACGGAAAAGGCATATAATAACGAAATGAAAATAAGGAGAATTTGTATGATCGTCAATGAAACAAGGGTCCACTAGGGTCAAAATGACGTTGATGTAAATGTAGCACAACGTAATGAGTAAACTACATGCGTAAAGTGAGCTATAAAATGTCACGACATGAATTATATATGTTTTCTAATCGACTAACAAATATAATTTTATTAATTATGTAGGTAGTATGAAAGTAAAAATGAAACATATTACAATTTTTCATACTGTGCCATAATGTAGTATACAGGAGCCTGTAATTTACTTCTTTGTTTTCTGCCATTTTACAATCCAAGATGGTAGAAGACTCCCATACCACCTGGAATCATTTTAACTTCAGAATGGCGATATCTGCCCTAAATAATTCATGATACATTAACGTTCTGACATAAAACACCCATGTAAAATTTCAACGAGTAAACGGGTCAACGGGTAATGCAATGATAACTCAATCCAGAGACATATAATACCCAAGTTTCTACTTCACCCAATAAAATTTAATAACAAAGACTACTGAATATGAAAACACATGTTAGCAGTAAATTTGCCTATTACGTCTTTTAGTTTTTCTCGCACATTGTTGTCAATAGAATGGAATTTTATGCACCTGTCATACAAGTGAGAGGTTTAGCTAGCTATAAAACCAGGTTTTATCCACCATTTTCTACATAAGGAAATTCCTGTACCAAGTCAGGAATATGACAGTTGTTTTACATTCGTTTGATGTGTTTAAGCTTTTGATTTTGCCATTTTGATAAAGAACTTCCAGTTTTGAAATTTCCTGGGTATTCGGTATTTTTGTTATTTTACTTTTTGCAAGGGAACAAATCACAGATCTTTTTATGAAACCTCTTTGTAATTACGACAAAAAAATATCAATCAAAGGTTTTGCTCTAATAAAAAAGACCTAGTATATGTCTATATTGGTATTGTTTTCTGATTTCTCCTTTTCGTATTCGAAGTAACAGAAAGTTTGGGCTGCAACATTCGACAAAATTGTTTAATTAAAGCATCAATCTTTTGACAAATAATACACAGATACATAGCAAAAATATTTCTTAAAATACTGCAAAACGTCTCATTCTGATTTATTCATTTGTCATAAAGTACGTTTAATTTAACAATGCTATTACAAACATAGCCTCTAGCCTTTGTTAGTCTTGTATTATTTTTAATTTTAGTTTCTTGTGTACAATTTGGAGTTTAGTATGACATATAATATATTTGTTTAGGGGCCAGCTGAAGGACGCCTCCGGGTGCTGAAATTTCTCGCTGCATTGAAGACCTGTTGGTGACCTTCTCCTGTTGTCTGTTCTATGGTCGGGTTGTTGTCTCTTTGAAACATTCCCCATTTCCATTCTCAATTTTATAGAATTCCCTCAGCAAATCTAAAAGCACACTATACTTATCAGGACAGTTTATATCAGATTTACAAATATTTATATCGAAATTCGTCTAATATGTACTATCATTCTTTTGTTGAAATTTGAAAAGTTTATGTTCAGTTTTGTAAACTCTATTTCAAACCGTATGATATACTTGTAACCAAGTTATCAAAGAGTAGAAAACACACAGATAAAATTATCAATATCTTCTTTTGCTTTGATTTGTTTTGTTTTCCTGAGCATTTGTCTTTCCAATACAATAATTTCTTTACAGCGTATGTGAAGATGTTTTCAAATCCATCGGCTGTAAAGGAATCCATGATGTCTTTAAAAGTTGATTCATTTGGAAACGTAAGAGTTTGATTTTTTGTTGTATATAATATGTTTATTAAACTAAGATATGTTTCATTAACTTAAAATTGATCATAACTTTGGATACAAAATGTAATTTTACTGAATATTAACTTAAAAATAATAACAGCAACTCAACGAAAAAACGAAATATAAAACAAAGCAATACATGTACAAACAAACATCAACTACGGTCTTCAACATCAAACAAATGTTAATACGAATAGGAAGAGCATTTAATCGCTGCTTCTCGAGAATTTAACATGTATTATTGAACTCAACAACTAATTTCCAGTTAGTCAAGAAAAAGAGGAAACAATAATCATTACGAAATGACAAAATCAACCGTTGAAGAATGGGGACAGCCACTTAATCATGTTAATCGTTTCCCTTTTGAATTTATTTCTCGAACAAAAGTTTACAGCAGAATGTAAAATAAAATTCAGTTGAGATTGAATTTTTCGAAATACTAAGGATTTTCTACCTCTAGAATAGATAACCTTAGCTGTATTTGGAAAAACCTTTCGGAACTTTGAGTCCCTAATGCTCTTCAACTTCGTACCTTATTTTGGCTTTTTATTTTTTTGTTATTCAAGCGGCACTGATGAGTCTTTTGAAGACGAAACGCGCGCCTTGCGAACAAAATTTTAATCATGGTAGTTATGACGAGTTTATTAACTTGATAAATTATCTGAAACTGGTCTTATACAAAGGAAAAGTACTAGTTCAATCAAACTAAAAATTATTAAAACCATATTACTGAATGATAACTGTATTTGAAAGCAACCTAAAAGTTCTTAACTTGATGAAATGAACGCATGCCTCTTACATTGAAATACAGCCTGATGAACCCTTGAGTACATTAATACAGCAACGTCATAAAAGGGTCTTGTTCATATTGATCTGGTGATGAATATTATCTCTAAATATTGATTTCCCTAAAAATAACTATTTTTAGCTAACATCTCCTTTGTCATTCAAGGTGTCGTATAAAAACATATGTTATGGTGTATAACGTTTATAATGGCTAAAAATCACTACACACCACACTAATAAGGAAATAATAAAAGTACAGTGATGTTATTGCTGTGTTTTATCACAGGAACCTTTAACGTGGAAATAAAGCTCACAGCTCAATAAAAGTTCAAGACATCACGTGGCATCGGTTCGAACGAAATGTTATGCTAGAAAAAAAACCAAGACTTAATGGATGCACAGCTACTACATATCTGCATCGAGAGGCATAAAAAAGAACAAATACTGTAACAAAAAACGTTGTCCAACGGTCTTAACGAGCAACACAACAAAATACTTACGTTAATATAACCACAGGTTACATCATAGTAAATTTGTTCGTGTTTTCAAACTTCAATTACAGAACAACTGCATAAATAAGTGTTTAGGTTTTATTACAGGGTTCTGAAGTACTGAAAATCTGTCAATATTGTGTAATTAAAAATATCATCTTTGAAATCAAAATCATACATACATTCATATTTTTCGTCTTGGTATTAATTGAATTTATATGTTTATATGTATATATACATGTTCACTTTAGTTTAATTGATGTTCGTAGATAAGATTTAAATATATGAATACTATTATGTTGACATTTCGCATACATCCTAGGGTTGTGAATTTAAAACCAAAAAGTCAAAAACAGAACAGAAAAACATAAGTTTCAGTTTTAAGTGATATGACGCCTGTTAAGTATTTCGGGATGACGTATAAGTGTTGTCATCCATGCCAATGCACTTGGTCTTTTAATTGACATTAATCAACTCCAATGTGTGATATAAGCTCAGTATTTAATGCTTCGATACTGAAATGATTTATAACATACTTTTCTAAAAATCCCAATTGATGAATTAATAAATTATTAAGAAACTAATGTTTCAACTACCTCAGTCAACGTTTATCTTTGATAAGGTTGGCTATTATTTTGAGGTTCATTTTTGGTTATAGAGCTCCTAGCGTTTCTACGTATCTATATATCCTAGGCTTTCAAATATTTAGGTTTGGGCGTTCTCGATGATGTCAATCCAGAAAAGCGCTTCAGACGCTCTAAGTCTATAAGAGTAACTTTCATTTCGTATCTGAACTTTTGTATTTTGAATACGAATTGCACCTTTAATAGTTATTCTTTTTGGAAACATTACCAATTTTGAATAATTGATTTTTTCCTTCCTGAAAATCTTGATATTTTTGTTATAAGACCTGTGTTATATTATAAGACACGTGTTAACTACCGGTTCTCGGACACACGGAATTGTATTAATTGGACAATTTATACATTTGATTTAATCATTATCATTATCGAAATGATAGTACTATAATACATTTTGCAAACACAAATATTAAGACAAGAAATTAAATTAAACTAAGTTTCAAAATTGCGTTCACTTGTATTATTGTACCATCATTTCAATAATAATAATAATTATAATTATCATTATTATCATTGTGGCTATTATGTTATTATTAAAATGATTATAATAACAATTATAATAATAATAATATTTGTTATTATTAACCAATATCTTAAAATACAGTATAAATTGTCCAATTAATACAATTTCGTGTGTCCAAACCGGTCGTTAACACAGGTCTTATACGGAAAAACTGGTTAATATAGAAATCTAACTGGTCTTAATACATGATTTTACCTCCCGTTTGTAGGTTCAAAAAGGTGTCAAAAATGAATGAATTACGCGAACTAATTTGATGTTAGAGTTGTTGTTATTTTCTATATGTCATACCTTGTTTTTCTTTGAGTGTATACAATTATGGACCGTACAAAAGGTCAATATCAAGAATTGTCAACCGTAAATGATTGTTTCTGAAGGGGCAGTCAAAAGTGAGGGAAATTTGTAGGGTAGACTATCTTGGGCATGCACCATTCCGAATGGGCCATATTTGTTTAATCGTACCAAAGGGCCCTTCGAACCATAGAAATCCATGTCAAAACACTTGCGTCAGAGAACTATTTTAGTGACTTAAAATGCCTCATATGTACAACAAATGAAGATTCTTTCTGTAAAATATTTGTGGCCCAGAAAAGGGCCGTTTGTGAAAGCTATTCTTGGCACCAGATGGATTTTAAATACTTGTTTCTTCGTCACTTCATTCAAGGGACTTCTAACCTGGACGTTGCCATTTTATTAACTTCAGTGCCTCATTTTGATGGAAGAAAACTAGTGAAAAATCGAGAGGATCAAATGGTTTTCTACCGGTGAATAAAAGGGTAATTCATCGCACATTATTAATTTTCAGGATTATTCGACATTCCTTAAAATGATAATTAACCATAATATAGAAATAAGAAGATGTGGTATTATTGCCAATGAGACAACTCTCCACAGGAGACCAAATGACATAGAAATTAACAACTATATGCCACCATACGGCCTTTAAACATTGAGCAAAGCCAATACCGCATAGTCAGCTATAAAAGGCCCCGAAATGACATATGTAAAACAATTCAAACGAGAAAACTATCGGCCTAATTCATGTACAAAATAATGAACGAAAACAAATATGTTACACAGCAACAAACGACAACCATTGAATTACAGGGATCTGACTTAGGACAGGCACATACAGAATGTGGCGGGGTTAAACAAATTTGATGGCGCCAACCCTACTCCTAACCTGGGACAGTGATGTAACAGTAAAACATAAGAACAAATTATAAAAATCACTTGAAAAAGGCTGAAATCATCAGATGAATCCAAATAGAAATACATATAGTTCATATTAATCCAGTATGAGTCTTCCTACAGCTATGTGTATCATCAGTCAGCTTTTGGTGGTTATTTAATGTCATTGGTTAATAAATGTGTCATAAAATGCAGTTTTTCATATTAATCCTGTATTATGTCCTCGTACAGTCGTATTGGGTCTCGGTTAGCTGTATTGACCCTCGGCTAACATTGTCCCAATAATACATAACACAGGATTAATATGAAAACACCCATTTAATAACACTCTATTATTATTATTAATATTAGTATTTCAAGTATTGTTATAGTTATCATTATCATAAGCTGGATTGAAAACTATGTTGATATAAATCAGTTGTAATTAGATTTTAATAATTTCAGCGAACTTTTTATGAAAAAGTAGACGAAACGGAAATTTTATATGCGGAATTTCCTTTTGTCAAAATAAAAGCCATAACCAATTATACTCATACTGTTGATAAACAACAAGTTGCCATGATGAAGAAAGATCAGATTTACTCCTTGATAAAACAAGTGGGTGATTGGTGGGAGATTACTGATAATCCAGGACCATCGTTCTTTGTGAAGTCGGAGTATGCTGTGATAACTACTCCGGGAAATGTTTTATCGCCTGTTCGAAAACTAAGTACTAGGCATGCCTTGTCGTCTACAGCAGTTCAAAAGCATCATGCAGGTGCTTTTGAGCTATTGGGTGGAGCCGATTCCAAAATCCCAGAATCTGTAAGTATTTTGAGAGGATAAATATATTCCGGAAATAAAGAGACATTGTTTTAATCGGACAATTCATGTTAGAGGGAAATGTTTATATTTGAAAATCATCATAAAGATTGAATACGAACCAACCGACATTGTTTAAACTATCAGTAGTATTATGATGCCAAATCAACGATATGAATAGAATATGAGAGATATACGTCAATAATAACAACCACAATGGCACACTGTACGATTCGCAATAATATCAACCCCATTGACTCACTTTCAGTTCTCAATAATAACATCTATATTGACATGCTTACGGTTCTCAATAATTGACGAGTGTTTCGTTGCGATCTGACGAGTCAAGTGCAACACTTTTCTGGGTAAGGGGAGGGTATAGAACTGACAAAGATTTTTAACCCCATTGCAGGTTTAATGTACCTAACCAAAGTTAGGTACCTGTAATTCATTTAAAGTCGTTTGCTACTGGCTTTTATATTTTTTTTTCGTATATTGTTTTAGTATGAATTCGGCCGCTTGTGTTCATTTTTTTCTTATTTCACATTTTGTCATGGTGCAGCTGTCTAAAAGTCTTAAAGCTTACTATACTAGGATATTAGTTTTACTTATTGTTAATATAAATAACAATGCTTTATTCTCTAAAAACCAATAAAATCAAAGGTACGGAGAATGACATTCAAAAAATATATTCAAGTAAAGCATAGTATTGTTGAAGGCCACAAGGTGATCTATTGCTGCCTCATACACACCCTTTTGTCTCTGGTAGATGGTTATCTCATGTGGATTAAAAACAAGTTTCAGACTTTTCAGATGATGTTAATATCATAACCATAGTTTAGGACTTAAATTCATTTTCTTGTAAAATCATTCGAGAAGCATAAATCATGTAAATGAAGGAACATTTAGGGAAAAACCTACACTATATTATTTATTTTGAATGACTTTGTAACAAAACAATACAATATCAATTAGGGTCAAGCGATGCGTAATATAAATTTGTCCTATATTTGGGTAATTCAATAATCACATTCATTGTAGAACCAGTTTTACTTAATAAAATCTTTTATAATTTTATTATATGATTACGACACTATTCCTGGAGACAATATGGATGTATATGGGCATTTATCTATTCTATAATTATATTTCAATGAAAATAAAATGAAACATTGAAAAAGTTAGAGAGAAAAGAAGCCAGAAAAATAAATACAAAATATGCATAAAGTGGACAAGGTCTAAAAAAATGTATCACAAAATTCGTAGTCCGGAATCTAGAAAGGTATCACATATCTATACCAACGTGTTGACCTCTACAAAACCCAGGTTCTAAGCAGGTCTTACATTCGTATACCAATAGGTCATTCTCTACTAAGCTCAAAACCTAGACAAGTCTTACATGTCTATATCAATGTGTCCACCAATGTGTGTTTTGCTATGTGTTGAAGGTTTCACTGTGACTTTGAGATGAAAGAACATCAATAAAGCGATGTTCATTTGCCTTTTGTGTTTTATGCTGTGCATATACTGATTTTGTGTCAAGGATGGATAAGTGAACCATAGACGTTGTCTAAATTGGGTGGGTGGGGGGGCTTTTCATTTTTTTTTTTAAATTTGTAATTCTATTTTTCTCAATTCTTCATTTATGTTGCCCATTAATTTATTTAATATATATTAAAGCACCCCCTTATTCTGTATTCTTAGTTGTTTGCCCTTAATTTTCTTTATTCTTTATATTTTGACCCATTATTTTTATTTTGTAAACACAATTCAGACCTTAATAGACTTCAAAAGATCCATTATTTACAACTTAAAACTCCCATTAGCACCATGTGTCGCAAATGGCTCGAACGGAAGTCTTCAATCTGAGTCTGTCTGCTGCTTGTTGTTGAATTTCTTCCCATGTCCTCCATCCAATGTCTGTTCTTTCTTTGTCGACCATTTGTCTCCAACTTTCCTTTGGTAATCCTACATTTGTCTGTCCTGGTGATGTCCTCGTCAAGGCGATTCGACAATCGTTCCATGGGTCCATCAGTATGTGACCTATCCAAGTCCTTTCTCCTGGTCTTATTGGTGTTTTTGATGCTGCAAATGATGGCTTTTTGTAGTAATTCTGTACTTGAAATCGTAGCTGGCCAAAATATCCTGAAGATTCAACACAAGTTTTTGGTGTTGAAGGTGATAAGTTTTCCTCCATCTCTTTTGCTTATCTTCTTACATTCTGCCACATATAACTACCCTGATATTACATTGCTGTTATAAATTTTCATTTTTGGTGTTCCTGCTGGTTTGATTCCCATATGTTTCTTAGCGTGCAGTACGCTGCTCTTGCTTTTTTATTTTACTCTATTTGTTATATAGACTGTTGTATTTTGTCTCTGATATCTATAACATATAGGTATGTGAAACTGTCCACCAACTCTTTTTCTTCGCTGTCCAATGAAATAGGCTGAATGTTGTTGACCTTTTCACGCAATATTTTACTTTTCTTCTTGTTTATTTTTAATCAAGTTGTTGCAGCTAAACTTTGTATACTATTTGTTTTGGTTTGTAATTGTGTCTTTGTTGTTGACAAGAGAGCTATTTCATCTGCAAAATAAAGGTCTTCCAACCCTTAATCTTCCCTAGTAAATGCCACGCCTTTTCTGTGTTGTTTCTTTAATTGTCCAGTCTATTACAAGTAAGAAAAAACGAAACCTGACATAACATACCTTGCCTGACTCAAAATTTAATGTGGAACCATTCCGCATGTTTACCCTTATGTTAAACTGCACTATCCTGATAGTTTTACCTTGAATTCTATAATTTGCAATGATCATTCTTAAAGTTTCCCGATTGATAGTGTCAAACACTCTTTAGAAGTTCATAAAGTTGATGAATAAAGGACTGTTCCATTTCATTTAAAAGATCCATTATCAGCATCAAACTAACAACAAACTAAACCAACACGATAAAGATGAATACAACGTTTATCAATGATTCGTCTGTTGCTTTTTACAAGAAAATTACTAGTCAGAATACAAGTTACATTAACACAGTTAAGGTTCAAATGACTCTACACTCATTTGTTTGTTTTTTCCATATTTTGAATTTTTATAATTGATTGTTTTGTTGCAATTTCAAAGGTATTTCTAAATTATAAGATGCTTGTCATTTTCTTTTTACCCAGAATTTTAATTAGACGTTGCAGTTGATTTATTATATGAGTAAAATGAGATCTGAGTATGCATTAATAAAACAAACAATAAAACAACATATATAACCAATACAGTATGACCAGTAGGTCAAAATAAATCCAACAATGGAAAGTTGTCTATGCAACATACCAAGCACTTAATCGCCCTGAGTCTTAAAAAGTAATCAGTATATTCAATATGGACTATCGAAAATTTGTCAACCGCCATATGACCCCATGATAAAAAACAAAATTCAGGCTCCTTTAGTTCTCTGATTAGATTTTAATCGATAGAATCATGTCTACCTTATATCAAATGTTTTATTGGAATACATATTGATATACGTCAATAATAACAACCACAATGACACACTTACGATTCGCAATAATATCAACCCCATTGACTCACTCCGTTCTCAATAATAACATCTATATTGACATGCTTACGGTTCTCAATAATTGACGAGTGTTTCGTTGCGATCTGACGAGTCAAGTGCAACACTTTTCTGGGTAAGGGGAGGGTATAGAACTGACAAAGATTTTTAACCCCATTGCAGGCTTAATGTACCTAACCAAAGTTAGGTACCTGTCATTCATTTAAAGTCGTTTGCTACTGGCTGTCATATTTATTTTTCGTATATTGTTTTAGTATGAATTCGGCCGCTTGTGTTCATTTTTTTCTTATTTCACATTTTGTCATGGTGCAGCTGTCTAAAAGTCTTAAAGCTTACTATACTAGGATATTAGTTTTACTTATTGTTAATGTAAATAACAATGCTTTATTCTCTAAAAACCAATAAAATCAAAGGTACGGAGAATGACATTCAAAAAATATATTCAAGTAAAGCATAGTATTGTTGAAGGCCACAAGGTGATCTATTGCTGCCTCATACACACCCTTTTGTCTCTGGTAGATGGTTATCTCATGTGGATTAAAAACAAGTTTCAGACTTTTCAGATGATGTTAATATCATAACCATAGTTTAGGACTTAAATTCATTTTCTTGTAAAATCATTCGAGAAGCATAAATCATGTAAATGAAGGAATATTTAGGGAAAAACCTACACTATATTATTTATTTTGAATGACTTTGTAACAAAACAATACAATATAAATTAGGGTCAAGCGATGCGTAATATAAATTTGTCCTATATTTGGGTAATTCAATAATCACATTCACTGTAGAACCAGTTTTACTTAATAAAATCTTTTATAATTTTATTATATGATTACGACACTATTCCTGGAGACAATATGGATGTATATGGGCATTTATCTATTCTATAATTATATTTCAATGAAAATAAAATGAAACATTGAAAAAGTTAGAGAGAAAAGAAGCCAGAAAAATAAATACAAAATATGCATAAAGTGGACAAGGTCTAAAAAAATGTATCACAAAATTCGTAATCCGGAATCTAGAAAGGTATCACATATCTATACCAACGTGTTGACCTCTACAAAACCCAGGTTCTAAGCAGGTCTTACATTCGTATACCAATAGGTCATTCTCTACTAAGCTCAAAACCTAGACAAGTCTTACATGTCTATATCAATGTGTCCACCAATGTGTGTTTTGCTATGTGTTGAAGGTTTCACTGTGACTTTGAGATGAAAGAACATCAATAAAAGCGATGTTCATTTGCCTTTTGTGTTTTATGCTGTGCATATACTGATTTTGTGTCAAGGATGGATAAGTGAACCATAGACGTTGTCTAAATTGGGTGGGTGGGGGGGCTTTTCATTTTTTTTTTTAAATTTGTAATTCTATTTTTCTCAATTCTTCATTTATGTTGCCCATTATTCTTTATTTAATATATTAAAGCACCCCCTTATTCTGTATTCTTAGTTGTTTGCCCTTAATTTTCTTTATTCTTTATATTTTGACCCATTATTTTTATTTTGTAAACACAATTCAGACCTTAATAGACTTCAAAAGATCCATTATTTACAACTTAAAACTCCCATTAGCACCATGTGTCGCAAATGGCGCGAACGGAAGTCTTCAATCTGAGTCTGTCTGCTGCTTGTTGTTGAATTTCTTCCCATGTCCTCCATCCAATGTCTGTTCTTTCTTTGTCGACCATTTGTCTCCAACTTTCCTTTGGTAATCCTACATTTGTCTGTCCTGGTGATGTCCTCGTCAAGGCGATTCGACAATCGTTCCATGGGTCCATCAGTATGTGACCTATCCAAGTCCTTTCTCCTGGTCTTATTGGTGTTTTTGATGCTGCAAATGATGGCTTTTTGTAGTAATTCTGTACTTGAAATCGTAGCTGGCCAAAATATCCTGAAGATTCAACACAAGTTTTTGGTGTTGAAGGTGATAAGTTTTCCTCCATCTCTTTTGCTTATCTTCTTACATTCTGCCACATATAACTACCCTGATATTACATTGCTGTTATAAATTTTCATTTTTGGTGTTCCTGCTGGTTTGATTCCCATATGTTTCTTAGCGTGCAGTACGCTGCTCTTGCTTTTTTATTTTACTCTATTTGTTATATAGACTGTTGTATTTTGTCTCTGATATCTATAACATATAGGTATGTGAAACTGTCCACCAACTCTTTTTCTTCGCTGTCCAATGAAATAGGCTGAATGTTGTTGACCTTTTCACGCAATATTTTACTTTTCTTCTTGTTTATTTTTAATCAAGTTGTTGCAGCTAAACTTTGTATACTATTTGTTTTGGTTTGTAATTGTGTCTTTGTTGTTGACAAGAGAGCTATTTCATCTGCAAAATAAAGGTCTTCCAACCCTTAATCTTCCCTAGTAAATGCCACGCCTTTTCTGTGTTGTTTCTTTAATTGTCCAGTCTATTACAAGTAAGAAAAAACGAAACCTGACATAACATACCTTGCCTGACTCAAAATTTAATGTGGAACCATTCCGCATGTTTACCCTTATGTTAAACTGCACTATCCTGATAGTTTTACCTTGAATTCTATAATTTGCAATGATCATTCTTAAAGTTTCCCGATTGATAGTGTCAAACACTCTTTAGAAGTTCATAAAGTTGATGAATAAAGGACTGTTCCATTTCATTTAAAAGATCCATTATCAGCATCAAACTAACAACAAACTAAACCAACACGATAAAGATGAATACAACGTTTATCAATGATTCGTCTGTTGCTTTTTACAAGAAAATTACTAGTCAGAATACAAGTTACATTAACACAGTTAAGGTTCAAATGACTCTACACTCATTTGTTTGTTTTTTTCCATATTTTGAATTTTTATAATTGATTGTTTTGTTGCAATTTCAAAGGTATTTCTAAATTATAAGATGCTTGTCATTTTCTTTTTACCCAGAATTTTAATTAGACGTTGCAGTTGATTTATTATATGAGTAAAATGAGATCTGAGTATGCATTAATAAAACAAACAATAAAACAACATATATAACCAATACAGTATGACCAGTAGGTCAAAATAAATCCAACAATGGAAAGTTGTCTATGCAACATACCAAGCACTTAATCGCCCTGAGTCTTAAAAAGTAATCAGTATATTCAATATGGACTATCGAAAATTTGTCAACCGCCATATGACCCCATGATAAAAAACAAAATTCAGGCTCCTTTAGTTCTCTGATTAGATTTTAATCGATAGAATCATGTCTACCTTATATCAAATGTTTTATTGGAATACATATTGATAAATGGCTTATGGATGTATTCCAGAGTGGAGAACAAGTTAGGCATCATGAGCATGAACCTCTTAGGAAAACAATCTCTGAAGCTTTACCCCAACACTCTCAAAAGTTAAAGCGAAAAACAGCAGTCTACTATGCAGAAAATCAAGACAGTTCTGATATCGCATTAACGCCATCGCAGAAGATAAAAGCATTCAGAGAAAAGAGGGTTATGTCCATTCCAAGCCTAGACACACATTCTGATGTATGTATAATACACCTTATTTTTATTGCATAATTCAAATGATCTGTTGTTAAAAGTTGTGAAACTTAATGTCAGGTATAATAGTTCGTTTGAAAAAGATAACAGAATATCGAGGGGCAATCAGACGTTGAAACATTTTTCATTACACTAATCAAGAATCGACTTAATTACCCTGGTAAACGGTAATTTAAGGTGCTGCGGAATGGTTAGTAGTTGCACCAAAATGTATTAAAGTAGCTTAGGGTGTCTTAATGTCCGACGATAGATTTTTCGTAAACTTCTGTAAAAGATTGCTGGGTCAAAGTACTTTTAAGTTTCAATTTAAAACCTGGGGGTTGCGGACCTTGTTATTTCGTTACAATATCTTGAAATTAACGAAATCATAGTTATTGTATATGGGTTTTATAGGGTAAACTTATTTTTTCCTTGTTGATGAAACATTAAATAAAGGCAATAGTAGTATACCACCAATAGTCGTAATTCGATTAAGTAAAAACAAATCCGGGTAACACCGATGAAAAAACATCAACTATAAGACGAAAGAATTGGTTAAAATTCAATGAGACAATTGTTTTTCATAAATACTTCTAAAATATCAAATAAAAATAGGGGATCACGGGCCGTATTTTCTAAAAAAAAAAAAAAAAAAAAAAAAAACACGAATTGTCCTATCAAAATTAATATAATTATCTGCCCTTGTTTTTCAAAGAATTATGTCTGAAAATTTTAAGAACACTGAACAACAATTAGATTTTTTGATAGTTTAATCTTAAAATTTCAAGTTTAATATACTCTGCTGTAATTTTAAACCAAAAACGTATTTTTCAACATGCACAGATGGGATGCTCAAAAACAGACACACGATTTTTCCTTAATATCATGAATAGTGGATCACAGCTCTGTTGACTGTAAAAGAATATATTTTCAAAATAAAGAAAAAAATGATTTTGATATACTTTATACATCGATTAATTTTCTTTTTTCATTTTAAGGATTTGAATAAAATCAATTATGATATGTAATATTATACTGAAGTACCGTTTCCCGGCTAATCATGCTATTTCATTGAATATGAGCTCATATCCCTTATGAACAAAACCGAAGATAAGAATGGTAAATAATGTTAAAATCAGGAGACTCCAGTATAATATAATTGTTATTCGGTCTTCACAGAAGATATGGGCTTCTAAAACACTGACAGAGAATATGATCCCATATCCCCTGAGAAGATCTCGAATAACATATAATACCCTAGTGAATATTTTTAAAGTAGAAATGGATAAAATTGTTTCAAGGGAAACTTCCATGTGACAGCATCTAGCACACACGTAGTTATAGATCAATATACCATTCATTAATAGAATACAACACATGATAAGCTCTAACTTGCCGTGAAAAGTCTAACACTGTTAGAAATATAACAGGATGACCTATAAATTTCGAAAAGGAATAGAATAAAACAAGGTAATACCAGACGAAATATTTCTTACTTGCAACAGTCGCAAAAATACGAAGCTCTGTAAGTGATTTGTTTTGGAATTCAATAATCTCGATAAGGTCGTAAAACAGATGAGAAGAAAGATAGTTCTTTATTGCTCAGCTGGTGGAGATAATTTGAATTAAACATCTAATTTTCCTGCAAGTTTTATCTAAATGATTTTAATGTTGCAGTTTTCAGTTACAAAATTAATATGTCTCTTTATTTTACTTGTAGCCATGTCCAGAAGAGGAAGCCACAACGGAAAATTTCAATTCTTTATAATCTAATACAAACACCAATTAATCAATCCAGCATTTGACTTATAACAAGGAACATTTTGATATATAATCATTGAGTTTGACATCATTACAAATTTTGAAACAACTGAGGTGAATCAATATACAAAAACCGTAAAGAAATTAAAACGTAGTAAACTATTCACTATAAATATTTGTATATTGCATACTTCATAGTGAGATATTAAAAATGTATTGCTTTATGTCGACAATATGTTGCGAATATACAATAAAAAAAAAACGTAGGGGTTAACGTCAGTGAGGAAGCAATCTAACGAAATGAGAAACCAAACGACACTTTCATGTCAACATACAATGTAGAGCCTTTATCCTGATCATGATCCGGGTGTTGCAATTCGATAATATAAGTACAGAAGAACATATCCGTTGCTTTTTTTTACATTTACTTTAATGAAATGGTCATTTCAAATAAAAGCAAGGCCCCAATGGTTCCCTCCAGAACTGGTTAAGTGTGTCGATTAAGATATTATTTGCAATATGAGATATTATAATGGGTATATTTTGTATATTTTTATAAAATAATATATTTTAATATTGAGGGAAAATCCGTCGGAAAAATGAGCTACTAACATTGTTTTTAATGCAAAATAAAACGCTTAATCTGTTGAGATGTTTAAATAATTTTGTTGGCTTTCTATGAAAAAAAGTAAATATCATAGACTGAGGTGAAAATATGGTTTTAACATTTGAACAATGTTTCATGTGATAAGTGATATAAAACAAAACTTTACGACTGAAGGATTGGTTTCAGCTTCCCAATTGTGAACTTTAAATTTCTATGTAGCAACATTCCAGCAGCGCCTATATACGGAGTATATATCGTCCAGTTGATACGATATTCCAGGGCTTGTATTCCCTATCCTGATTTCCTTGATAGAGAGTTGCTGCTTACAAGGAAGCTATTAAACCAAGAGTAACTACAATCCGGTCCCTCTTTCCACGAATGTGACCTACTTAATAAGACTTATTACCGGGTTTGTACTAACTTGAGCAACACAACGGGTGTCACATTTTAAGCAGAATCCGCTTACTCTTCTGGAACAACTGAGATCACCCCCCAGTTTTTGATGGGGTTCGTGTTGCTCAGTTTTTAGTTTTTAGTTTTCTGTGTTGTGTTTTGTGTACTGTTGTTTGTCGGTTAGTCCTTTTCTTTTTTTAGCCAAGGCGTTGTCAGTTTATTTTCTACTTTTAAGTAATAATTAATATAAAAATATGATTATGCCTCGACAAAATCAAACAGTATAGAAAAGCATTTCTTTATTTGGATAACCACTTGACGATACAATCTACCCGAACTCTGCGTATTATAAATAAACTGTAATTTATATTTCATTATCACATTTGCATATATTGTATTTTGCTTCATTTTGTCAGTCGACATCAGGTTAGATTAGCTGTTAGCTAACTGTGATACCCTCTAAAATAAAGTCATTACGTACTTACTTTTTTACAGCTACACTTGTATTTCTTTCTGATGCAATAGCAACCCTAATATACGCTATCTACGGTCATTACTGTGTCACAATGGTTTTGTAAAACCGTGTTGTATTTATCACATTCGTAATTAACTGTTTATCAAACCTTTCATTATTCAAGTTCAATGCTCTGTATCGATCTGATTAGTTAAGCCCTTTTCAACTGATTTTTATAGTTTGTTCTTATGTTGTACTGTTTCACCACTGTCCCAGGTTAGAGAGGGTTGGCGCCTTCAAACTAGTTTAACCCCACATCATTCTATATGTGCCTGTCCCAAGTCAGAAGTCTGTATTTCAGTGGTTGTCGTTTGTTGCTGTATCAGTGGGAAAACCAGTGACATTTAAAAGTTCCTTTTATCGGTCACGCGGGAAAGGGGACTTAATCGAAAAATTTCGTAGTGGCGCTGCAATCAGCGTGTAAACAAAAACGTAGCTTGTGCTTCAGACTATAAATCTATCAAAACATTTTATTATTCAACAGTATTTGAGTTTAATTTTTATTCGAATAGATTTTGTCACACGACTGCCAAAAATATATTAAAATAATTGCTTAGTTTTTGAAATATGATAGATCAAAAGACTCCGTTGACTTCACAAAAACCGCGGGTAATACCCCGTCTGAAAATGACAGACACAATTGCATATCATCCTAAAGCTTTTCATTGGTTGAGATATAAATAAATGTGACCCAGAAACATATGGGCACATGACTATGTGAAAAATTTCCCGTCACTCCTTGTCTTGTTTACATAATAAACACTTCAACCGGAGGTCAAAATTCAACATTTTGTTTTTCGTTTTTGGAGTTATATCATTGCAAAATGGAGCATATGATGTCAAATTTTCCAGTTTTCAACCACGAAATTGAATCAGACAATGAAGTGTGGCGATGTTTTCTGAATTTTAAATATATTTCATATAAAAATGTTGACAGATCGGCTTTACTCCGTCATTTGTTGATCTTTTCCATGTTGCTCAGACTCCTCGTATCAATAATTTTCTGCAGTTATTTAAGTATACTGCAGTGTGTAACAGATTTATGTAGTACATTGAAACTTGTTTAGTCTATGAATGAATTTGTTCATATAAATGACTTCAGTTGTCTAAAAGTGTCCCCCTTTTTTCCCACTTTCAAAAAACTTCAGTTGGGCAATAAAATAATGTCTGAATGAAAGTTTTGTACAAATGCAAAGTGTAAACACTCAGCTTATCTCTGTTTAAAACCATTGTTTAGCCACATGATCACAGTCATTCTTTGTTTCTGTAAATATTTACCTGAAATGTGTCAACTTGTCAATTTTAAAAAATATTAAAAGTATCAATCAACAACTGTGACCTGAAATCTGATGAGTCAATTATTTTCACTTGATTTTTAGTCTTTTTTCTTGTTGTATAAACAACACTGTACTAAGCTAGTAGGAAGCAAACACTCAATCATGTGAATGTGCCTGCCTGTTGTACACTATTAATCCATTCATTTTTTTGTGTGGCTGGGCCCTGGGGCATGTTAAACTCTTGAAAAAGAATTGCTTTAATCAAGAATGTGGGAACAAATATCTGTCATTGAGTTTTCAAAGAGTGTACATGTTCTTAAAGATTTTTTTTGAAAAAGTGGAAGAAACTGTATCTTATCCAGTTTTGTGGCCATTCATCAAATTTGTTTTTCTTCCGTAATTATTTTACCATTTATAGTTCTGGATTTAAAATTTTTATCACATGCTGCTTTACCAGGTCCTTTATACTTGGAATATTAGTTTGCTAATTGTTGAAAGCTAAAACAGTAACCTATAATTATCCTGTTTCAATTGTCAATATGGATTTCTTTTAAAACAACTTTTCCCAAGGAAAACTAAAGTTGAAAAAAATAGTTCAACCCAGATATGCTGCTGCTGAAGAAAGTAACATTTATAATGGTATTTTTCAAACATAGCATTCATTATTTACTCTATTGAATGCTCAATGCATCAATGCCTAGTACATACAAGTCTTAATACACGTTAAAGCTACAAGAGCATTAAAAATTCTAATGTCTACTTTGAAGATGGCATATGAATGTCTCACTCTGATTTCGGTGATCCTGTTTTATTGCATTGATATTAATGTTCGACCCACAACTTTTAGTTCACACTAATCTTTGTCCAGGTCTATCATGATGGAAATTTTAGGTACTGTACATTCAGAAACGATAGCAAGATTTTTATTAATGCAATAATGTGAATGGGTGAGTATCTACACATGTAAATAATACATTGTATTATTATATAATAATACCTTTTAATCTGATTAAAATACAAATCCTGTGTCCAAGCTTTAATCACAAGAAAACAAAGAAAATAAAGCTTGGACACATATGACACAGGATTTACATTTAATCAGATTTATGCCATTTCTATATATGTGTGCTGATTTTTCTGCAAAAGCAATACTTTTTCACAAATGTTTTTCCATTCTTCAAATTTGCAATAATAAAAGAACACAATAATTTGCAAATTCATGTGACATATAGGAAAAGGGCACTTGGGCATCTCATTCTTAATACTACACATGTAGCAGCATCTGCTTACTTTTCTAGAGCACCTGAGATCATCTGTATTTTGTGGGTTCAAGTTGCTCAGTTTTCATTTTTCTTTATTGTATAAGTTTAATCTATTCACCAAAAAGTCTGAAAACGGAGGTATGTGTCTGCTGAAAATAATTAATTTAGGTGCAGGGGTCACCATACTTCAAAATCTCCCTAGAGGCAAAACTGAGAAGTCATGTCACGATAGGTAAGGCCATTAGGGAGACTTCAAGGAGAAGTGAACGATTCTACAATCACTGTTTTAAGTCCTTTACACGTAATAAATTATTAAAGTAGACCTTGTCATATCTTAGATATTTTTTATGTTTGAAATACTACAGTACATACATGTCTTTGGCTAAAATGCTTGCTTTGCATCTATGAAATTCAAATCTTTCAATGACATAATGTTTTATTGTTGTGCAGCATCATTGTCTCATGTACATCTACCCCATGTTATCAATAAAAAACGATTAGGGTGTTTGTATATTTAAAAATGTTAAGAAAAAAGAAGTTTTATTAAAAGATAAATAAATATAAATGCATAAAAATAAGAATGAAACATATGTAAATATTATTTTAAATAATTATTATTGAATAAGCTTCAATAAAATAAACAAAACGACTTGATACTTTGGAAGTAAAAACTGCATGATAATAAAGTTTTGAAATTTAAGATGCATTATTGTTAAAAAGTCCATGTTAAACAAAAGTCAAATAGTTTTCTGTTCCATAAATCCTAAAAACGGAAATGTTTCCTGCTCTTCTTTATTCCTTATTCCTATTGTTATCTGTTAATTAATAATTAATGTTATGATATTAATAAATGAAAATAATTTCCAACTTTTCATTCAAAGAGTTGTAGTTATAAAATTATAATTATATTCTAATTGTCTACTGATTCTTATGTGGTCCAAGAATGAGAAGGTTCACATTTTAATTTGAATGTTTCTATAAATTTCACTAATGTAAAACTAATCAGATGTGATATAATTGCCAATGAGACAACTATCCACAAAAATTCCAATGAAGTGGATATAAGCAATTGTAGGCAACCTTAAAGCCTTCAACCATGAGAAAATCCCACAATGTATATACTTAATAAAATTGAGAATATAAATGGGGAATGTGTCAAAGAGACAACAACCCGAACATAGATCAGACAACAGCCGAAGGCCACCAATGGGTCTTCAATGCAGCGAGAAACTCCCGCTCCCGGAGGCATCCTTAACAAATGTGTATACTAGTTCAGTGATAATGGACGCCATACTTAACTCCAAATTATACACAAGAAACTAAAATTAAAAATGATACAAGGCCAAAGGCCAGACGCTCCTGACTTGGGACAGGCGCAAAAATGCGGCGGGGTTAAACATGTTTTTTGAGATCTATACCCTCCCCCTATACCTCTAGCCAATGTAGAAAAAACAAACGTACAACAGTACGCACAGTAAAACTCAGTTCAAGAGAAGTCCGAGTCCGATGTCAGAATAGGAAACAAAAGAAAATAAACAAAATGACAATAATACATAAATAACAACAGACTACTAGCAGTTACTGACATGCCAGCTCCAGACCTCAATTAAACTGA